AGGTTTCACCATGTTGGTCAGACTAGTCTCGAACACCTGACCTCAAATGATCTGCCTACCTTGGCCTCTCAAAGTGCTGGGATTACAGGTATAAGCTACTATGCTAGGCCTCAATAATTTTTTAAATTAAAAATAGAGCTACCATACGATCCAGCAATCCCACCACTGGTTATGCGTCCAAAGGAAATAAAATCAGTATGTCAAAGAGGTATCTGTACTCCAACATTTATAGCAGCCTTATTCACAATAGCCAAGGTATGGAATCAACTTAGGTGTTTAACAACAGATGAATGAATTAAAAAAAAATGTGGATGTGTGTGTATACACATACATACACACACACATACATACACAATGAAATACTATTCAATTATAAAAAGGAGGACAACCTGTTATTTCAACAACATGGATGAACCTGGAGAACATTTAAGTGAAATAAGCCGGGCACAGAGAAACAAATAATGCATAATCACACTCATATGGAATCTAAAAAAATTGGTCTCACAAAAGTAGAGAATATGATGGTGGTTATCAAAGGCCGGGGTGGCTAGGGAGAAGGGAGTTGGGTAAGTGTTGGTCAAAAGATACATACTTACAATTAGGAGGAATAAATTTCAAGAGATCTAATTGTACAGCAAGGTGACTATAGTTAATGATAATATAGTGTATTCTTGGCAAATGTAAAAACAGTGAATGTTATATGCTCTCACCACAAAAATGATAACTCTGTGAGGTCATGCATTTGTTAATTAGCTAGTTAACCATTCCACAATGTATATATACTTCACATATATACCGTCAGTTTAAAATAAATATATAAAAAAGAAGGAAATTTAATTGCCATCGAGCCGATATTAAGATGGGGAACTTTGAAGAGGTGATAGGTCATTAGGGCTTTTATGCAGCTATTGTGGAAACAGGTTTGTAACCTTGGAGTGAGCTTCTGATAAAAGGGTGAGTTCAGCTCCATTTCCTTTCTCAATCTCACACTCTCCTTTGCCATGTGATACCTTTTGCCATGTTATGACACAGCAAGAAAGCCCTCACCATATTTGGCCCTTTGATGTTGAATTTCCCACCCTCTAGAACCATGAGACAAACTTCTATTGTTTATAAATTACCCATTCTCTGGTATTCTGTTACCGCAGAGGAAAACAGAATAAGATGGAAAATTGTACTGGCCATATGACTGTTGCTATAACAAATACCTGAAAATGCAGAAGTGGCTTTGGACCTGGGTAAGGGGTAGAAACTGGAAGAGTTTTGAAGCAAATGCTGGGTACAGCCTATGGCTGTGAATGGAGTACTGAAGGCAATTTGGCCAGGGCTCAGAAGATTTCAAACTAGGGAGAGCTTAAATCTTCTTAAGGATTCCTTAGGTGGGTGGAATCACGATGTTGGTAGAAATATAAATGATAAAGTCCATTTTGATGAGACCTCAGATGGAAATGGGGAACATGCTATCAGAAACTGTAGTAAAGGCCATTGCTGTTTTACAGTTGCAAAGAACTTGGCTGAACTGTGTATGTGTCTTACAACTTGATTGAATGCAGAACTCAAGAGCAATGAACTAGAATATGTAGTAGAAAAAATATCTAAGTAGCAAAGCATTCAGCCTGCTGTGTGCCTTTTAACCATGTACAGTCAGATGCAAAAGGGAAGAAATGACTTAAAGATTATTTATAATAAAAAGAGAAACAGAAAAAAAGAATCAGAAAATTTGCTTCCTGGCCACACAAAGAATGAAAAAGTGTGTTAAAGAATACTAAGGGTGCAGCCAAGCAACTGTCTGCTAAATAGATTAGTATGTGTAGAAGGAAACCAATTGTTACTAATCAAGGCAATGAGAAAAAGACCCTAAAGGCATTCTGAAGATCTTTGAGGCTGGGCCACATATTCTATTTCATGAAATGAAGTGTTGCCCAAGTCTACAATCATAAAGACAACTGAGATCTTTAAACTAAATTTGTTGTAATTTTGTCTTTTGACAGATGTCCACAAAAGGGCCCGGAGATAGCTGATGACCTGAGACTCCTTGAGGAACACAGGAAAAGGTGATGCTAACCTTCTTTTTTTGGGGGATGGGAAGCATTGCCTCCTTCACCAAGCCCTGAGGGTTGTTAAGTCCCTCTCAGATCTGAGCTCTGCTCTCTTAAGCATTTTAGCTCCTTGATATCTTTGGCTTTGGGGGTATCAAGGTTAGTTTGTGCTTTGAGAGAGCATTTGACTTTGGGGTACTTAGGATTAGTTTGTGCTGTGGCAGGGCACATGACTTTTGGGTTCATAGTGGCTGACAAGTCACTGGTAAGGGCTATATTTTTTTGGCCTCCACTCTGGTGATATCTCATGCATGATGCTATAAAAAGCTTGAGTCAAACCCTGAAGAATGTGGCTGGACAGAAATATGGGTTTCATCCCATTGACGACCAGCATATGGCCAGAGGGAAATGTGGGTTACAGTCTTTGTGGCTAACATACAGGGCTGCAGTGGTAAAGGTAACCGACAGCAGTCACAGTAAGTGGTTATTACCAAGGGGTGAAAAGGGGCACGAACTCTGGCTTTTGGAATTCATAGGTATGTGTGTTCTTTTTTCTTACATGTTTAGATGAGGGAGGCCTCATGCACCTGACTGAGTCAGACAAAAACGACAGAAATTGAAAAGTTGAAAAGTCATTAGCTAAGTTGGTCAAGGTAATCTCAAAGCCAAAACCATTTTGGGTTTGAAAGACCCAATATCCAACATAAAATGATTTCCTTAATTTCTAAAGATCTGAGTACCCTGCCTTCTGGCCAATTTGACTTTTTTGTGTATAAGATTTCTGGTTCTGAAAGCTACAAATATTTACAAATGGCAAAATCTTACAAAACATAATTCAGAATTATAATGCCATTCCATGGAATGTTCCAGATGAAAAAGGCTATTCATCTAAGAAGTGCACTTCAACCTCGAGCATCCCAAATTAGGCAGAGAGAACAGAATTCTAACCGGCATTCAGAAGCCTCAAAGAGACAACAGTGCTCTAAAATCATGTTTTAAAAAGATTCACTGTAATGGCCTGGCACGGAGGCTCATGTCTGTAATCCCAGCACTTTGGGAGGCCGAGGTGGGTGGATCACCTGAGGTCAGGAGTTAGAGACCAGCCTGGCCAACATGGCGAAACCCCATCTCTACTAAAAATACAAAAATTAGCTGGGCATTGTGGCGTATGCCTGTAATCCCAGCTACTGAAAAGGCTGAGGCGGGAGAATCGCTTGAATCTGGGAGGCAGAGGTTGCACCGAGCCAAGATTGCACCATCACACTCCAGCCTGGGCAAGAGGGCAAGACTTGGTCTCAAAACAAAACAAAACAACAACAAAAAAGATTCACAGTAAAGAGCTAATTAATGAAAAGTTGGAAATGTAAGATACTCCCTTACCAAGGATGGTAAAAACTGATATGACTCCTACTGTGCCCCCTCTGCCCCCACTTACTTTGCCTGAATACTAAAATCTACTCCTAAATATCCAGTCTGCTTTGTCTGAATTGCCTTTCTTCCCTGAAAAAAGCAGTTAAACAGTTTCCTTATAAGAGAATCATCTGAAAAATCAGAAGATAATCCCCAAGTGACTTGTAGTCCCTGGACAAAAATGGACTTCAGGGCCACAGTTTAAGATTTTCCTAAACCTAGAGAAGAACGTCACAAGTTTTCTGAAGAATTCAGGGTCTTACTGGTAACTTACTTTTTTAAAATTTCAATTTCTTTATATTTTTTTAGATGAAGTTTTGCTCTTATTGCCCAGACTGGAGGGCAATGGCACTATTTCTGCTCACTGCAATCTCCACCTCCCGGGTTCAAGCAATTATCCTGCTTCAGCCTCCTGACTAGCTGGGATTACAGGTGCATGCCACCACACCTGGCTAATTTTTTGTATTTTTAGCAGAGATGGGGTTTCACCATGATGGCCAGGCTGGTCTCAAACTCCTGACCTCAGGTGATCTACCTGCCTTGCCCTCCTAAATGCTGGGATTATAGGCATGAACCACTGTGCCTGGCCTTACTGGTAACTTATGATCCCAGGATACTTTTTTTTTTTGACCCCAGGATACTTTATCTGTACCAACTAGTACACATGTTGGTGTTATCTAGGGAGCCCCATATAGATGAAAGAGGCAGAATGGTAGTTTCCTAAGAATTCCATCAAGTACCCAACAAGTACCATCTGATCTACTTAACGGGTCAGGCAAAACCCAAAAGATTGCAAATTACCTTTTCAAAAGCCATTCCCAAAGTATTTCAGCTGCATGACAACCAACAACCTAGAATGACATTTAGGCTTGTCCTAGGTTGCGTCCCCAAATAAGCAACCCCTAAAACAGCAGTTTCCAAAAATTGACTGCCATTTGTGCAAACAACCAGGACACTGGAAAAAGGACTGCTAAAAAAAATTTTTAGGAAAGCCCCTAAAATGAGGCTTCCCACCTACTCTGTGATTAAAAAAAAAAGTTCCTGTAAATCTGGTATGTATTGGTATAAATGCTATCAGTCATAATTTTGGTTGAGAAATAACCAAATTTCCTTGTCAAATGCATCATTATTATAATGAGCTCTTAAGTCATGTTGTCCACAGTTAATTGTTTTGGTTCTAATACCTTTTATGAAAGCTTTTTTTGCAAGCAAGTATAATCCAAAAGTGCTGTGTCTTCAAAAAGCTGTATCAAGAAGAATAAAAAAAGGTCAGGCACATTGGCTCACACCTATAATCCCAGCACTCTGGGAGGCAGAAGTGAGCAGATCACTTGAGGTCAGGAGTTGAGACCAGCCTGGCCAACAAGACAAAACCCCGTTTCCACTAAAAATACAAAAATTGGCGGGGTATGGAGTTGCGTGCCTGTAATCCCAGCGACTCAGGAGGCTGAGGCAGGAGAACTGCTTAAACCCAGGAGGCGGAGGCTACAGTGAGGCAAGATCATGCCACTGTACTCCATCCTGGGCAACAGAGTGAGACTCTGTCTCAAAAAAAAAAAAAAAAAAAAAAAGGAAACTCTGACATAACTTTTATTTGATATCATTGGACAACATTTCTAAAACTTTAATGAAGAAACTGTAAACCAAAAATAAAATTCTTAGCCCTACAGCCAATTGAATGGACCCCCCTTACCCTCATTCAATAGGCCAAGGGCTTTCCAAAGTAAACCTGAAAAACTAGTTCAGGCCATGATGGGAATGGGGGTAGGGTCAGAATGCCTCATTATACCTTCCTTCTAGAATTCAGGCACAATTAACCAGCATGAACATTAAAACAGAAATCTTAAGACTGACCAAAGAGATTCTTTGTACCAATAAGATACAACACATGACAGACAGCAGACATTGAAAGAAATTGAAGTATTTTACTCCAAAATATATATATTTTTTATGGATTTTAAAATGGCCCTGCAAAGTTCTCTTGTGGGGGAAACCTACATTCTGTGGAGAATCCCTTTCCCTTTCTAGGCCTTTTCCTGATCCAGGAGAGATTAACTAGAGTCTGGCACCTTTTTAAATCTGGTAAGAAGTATTTACCATGGCCGGGCATGGTGGCTTTTGCCTGTAATCCAAGCACTTTGGAGGCCAAGGCGGGCGGATCACCTGAGGTCGGGAGTTCAAGACCAGCCTGACCGACATGGTGAAACCCCGTCTTTAAAAAAAAAAAAAGAAAGAAAAAAAAAAGAAGAAGAAGAAGAAAAAAGAAATATTTACCATCTATTCTCCTTGAAGCCTGCTCTCTGGATGTTTCATCTGTATAAGAACCTTGGCATCCACAACTCCTTATTTTAACCCAGAAATTCCTGTCTATTGATTGCAAGTCTTTAGATAATAACATAGCTCAACCAATTGCCAATCAGAAAATTAACTCCACCTGTGAACTGGAAGTCCTCCCCATCCCCTACCTTTGAGTTATCCTGCCCTTCTGTACTGATGGTCATTTTACATGCATTCATTGATGTCTGCCTATAACTTCTGTCCCCCTAAAATGTATAAAATCAGCTGTAACTCAAACTGCCTTTGGCGTGTTCTCAGGACCTCCTGAGGCTGTGTCATGGGCATATATCTTTAACCCTGGCAAAATAAACTCCTAAATTGATTTAGACTTGTCTCAGTTACTTTTGGTTTACAAATCTGATGGGTTTGTAAAATTGCTAACCAAGATCAAACAAAGCATGAATCAATTACATGAGCCTGACTGAATCGATAAATAAAATTCACGACTTGTATCATCCTATAAAAGTCAGAGTAAATGTTGAAGATTTATCTATAGACATATCTATGTAGATACATATGACTCATTTATACATATGAAGTTTTGCCCCGTTAGGATTCCTTAGAAATTTGCTTCTGTCTCAAACTTACTGGGAAGATCATTGTGTTTCTAGATTAAACTGTGCATAAACAGTTGCTGCCTAGAAACTCTGTGGACAAGAATTACTGAAATAACATGTATAAAGTGCAGAGCATAGCTCCAACAGCAACAAAATTAAATAAAAAAGTAAGCTCTTAGTTTGAGAACAGCCTTTGTTCTTTTTAAATTTAAAGACGGCCTGCTGCTGATAGCTCCTACACAAATGGCATGAGCATTATTATTTTTAATAACACCTTATCAATTAGCTCCACACTGAATACACTGAAAACATGTTTTGTTTACTATACACACTGACTTCACAAATTATCATGCTTGAAACCCTCTGTAAGTAATTTGAATGCCTACATTAGTAATTCTGGTGGGCTTTGGTCTATCCTATAAAAACAGTAAAGATGGCTTAGCAGATTTTATTTTTGTTATTTTATTGATGTTATCAACATCACTCCTTAGTTGTCATAATTACTTTCTTTACTATGAGGATCAACATCATCTGGAAAGAGTTTCTAAACCAAAATACTTGACACCTGCTGTGAGGGTGGTGGTTTTCCACCTGGCTTTAGGCTTCAAGGACGATGGCTGGATAACACCATCCATCTAGCTCCTGGAAAGACTGAGGAGTGTTTACCTGAGTCAAGAAAAGGAGTCAGCAATTAACTTCTCATATAAGTAATACGACCACATATTGTCTAGTGTATACTGCCTGTGAGGCAGGGCATGAGATAAATATTTGCCCATCAAAATGCCTCATATCCAATATGCCTAAATGAAATGTTAACCACTGAAGACATAAAAAACAGGACTGGTTTAAAGGTAGACTATTATCACAATTCTAGAATTTATGACTTCCTACTGGATTTGGTTATATGTTGTATCATAATTGCACATACAAAATCTGTCTTTCAAAATCAGTTTAAAGTCAGTAATGTCACCTGCAAAATGGAATACATATATGCCAACACATATCCAGAATATAAAATTACTCAAGACACTAAATAAGCCTCAAAAAGTCCTTTCAAGAAGTTAGATTTTAAAACTCTATTTTTCATAAACATAAAGGCAGGAAGAAATGACGCCTTCATAGTTGCTAGAGCAACTCTAGATTTTCAGGCCTCTGGTCAGATGACACAGCCATTTTAGCTGTGCTCTCATTTTAGCATAAAACAGACAGTTTCTCATAAATCCAGACTAATATTCCTTTCAAAATTCATAATTGTTCTTTCCCTATATTTGCCATTAAAACCTTGATTAAAAAACAACTTTAGAGACAGGTCAAGGCTTCACAACCAGCGGCAACAGCATCACTGTTATGTAACTCCCTGCTAAGGCTAAATTACAGATCAAATGTGGCTCCACTTGTGGAAGGGCTGCAATCACACCTGCCTCTGTGAACTAGTAATCCTGTGATCTACCAGTGAGGATTAGCATTTCCTTTCTAAATGCAGTTTGGCAAAAAATTCTGTAGGTGTTAAACTGAAAGCCACAGGAAGGGATAACAATTTCAGACAGGATTATAATGGGAAAAGCAGCTGGCTACTAATACTAAGGCAAGATAGCAAGATATACCAAAATTAAAGACACATATACCTTTTGACTTACCTTTTAGAAAGTATTCCCACAAGTATACAAAAATATCTATGCAAATATCTCCATTGTAACAGTGTTTGGAAGAGTAAAAAACTGAAAACAAACTAAATGCCAATAGAGGATTTGTTTAAAAAATTAATAGACTATAAACACTGATATAAAAGAATAAGGTACCTCTATATTCAAAAGAGCTCCATGATAAGCTAAAAATTAAAACAATTGAACTCATGGAGGTAGACAGTAGAGCTGGTTACCAGAGGCTGGGAAGAGTAGTGGGGTGTGTGGTGGCAGGCGAGGAGCAGAGATGCTTAATGGGTACAAAAATATAGCTACATAGAAAGAATAGGATCTAGCATTTGATAGCACAATAGGATGATTACAGTCAACAATAATTTACTGCACATTTTATACTAACTAAAAAAGCATAACTAGAATGTTTATAACAAAGAAATTATAAATGCTTGAAGAGGATGAATATGCTGTCTACCATGCTATGATTATTTTGCATTGTATATATGTATCAAAGTATCTCATGTACCCCATAAACATATGCACCTACATCATTAAAAATTTTTTATTTTTAAAAATAAAAAATTATTTTTTATTTTTACAGACCAGTATGTAAATGGTTATATAAAATTTTCAAGCATATATACATACTGGTGTACCAGCCAACAGATATATAACACTTAAATATGCTAAGGATTGTTTTAGACGCTTTTCAGATATAAATACACTTAATTCACACAATAGTATTATAGATATTCTTATCCCTATTTTACCAAAGAAAAAGCATCTTGCCAAAAATTCAATGTAAGGAATTGAAATGGAACTCAAACTCAGGAGTCAGGCTCCAGAGAAGATACTTTTACCTTTTAGAGGCATTAAAAATCATTCTGGGAGAGGGATTATTGTGGAAGGTAAAGAGGGGAAGGTTTGTATTTTTCATATTGTGCATTTCTTCTTGAATTTACTGAGATGTATTACTTTTATTCTGAAATAGTAACAGTGGTTAACTGAGTGGTAAGCTTATTTATCATTCTCAGGTACTTCATTTTTTTCTGTATTAAAAATGCTATTCTGTTATTAAATAGAGTTATGATGTGTTAACAACAAAAAAGAAAACTGGCTTGACTTGACCTATTTAAATGAACAAGAAGAGAAACTAAAGCCATGTAAAAACAATGTTTATGGAGATTATTGTAAGATTTATTGTTAGACCACCACAGCTCATGTTAAGATGAATTACATATATTAGCCCATTGTGTTACATTCCTTATAGTAAAATAACACCTGGTCCCTCCTTTCAAAAAGCTCAAAATCATTAAAACAATTTTTAAGGTCAACAATATTAAGAAGACACATAAAAAGGTGGGTGGACGGAATCATAAGTAAGATGGCTTGATTCCTCCATGTAAATATTAACCTCCCCTAAGATGCTTGAGACTGGTCTACATAAATTGCTGATGCCAAGGCAAATTACTTACACCAAAATTAAAATTTTAAATTTGAAAAGGAAAAGAAAAGCAAAACATCACTTTGAGGTCCTTTGTCTTTTCTCTCTGCTTGCCTAAATGTTTATAGTGTTAATAAAGTCAAGGTGAAATGTCAATCTTGCTTTGAAAAACCAATCATCTTGGCTAAGGAAACGTCATTTAATAGTTTAACTGCAGCAGTTGTCCCTGTGCTGGGGCCACAGAGGATGAAACAAAGTGGGCAAATCCAATGGCACTAATGAAAAAAAAAAACCAAAAACAAATGAACCCTGTGCCCACGAATGTCTAATTAACACTGGATCAGCAAGTGAAATAGGAATAACAGCAGCAGCAAACACTTACATAGCATTTAAGTAATCTTAGTTGGTGACCACACGTCCTATTTGTTTCCTTTCACTCTGAAAGCTGTCCTGGTTTACACAATAAATTAAATGGTCACTCAACTTCAAAGTGCTTTACATATATTATCATGTTTCATCCTTGAAACAACTCTATAAAGAGTGTACTATTATCTTCCTTTTACAGATGACTTACTACTCACCTCTGTATTCACAGAAAAATATATACAATTACATTATTAGAAAGTCATTGTGCAGCTCCATTATTCTGTCATATCGTTCGTAGGCATATTAAAAACCTATTTGAATTATTTCAAATTCCAACAAGTCTATATTCATGCATTATACTTTCCTAGTTAAAAAAAAAAAAAAAAGCTATTGTCAAAACCAGCAAGCTCTATTAAATGGAATATAGAGCCACATTCCACCCCAAGCCCTTTCTCCATCTCTTATCTGTTGCTCTGGCACATCAATATATCTACCTAATGTTCTCTGAACTGCAGAAAGTGCTTCTAAAATGATTTCTATCAGGGTACTAACAATATTTAGCAGCCTTTAAATTTACACATACAAAATACAAACAGTTAATACAGTTTAATAGTGACAACAACCAAACTGTTTTTCAGTTAGCCAAAATGCTAGAGTTGGCAACAAGGGAAGGAGAAAAAATGCTTTGTCACAAACTAGCTGTGACTGAAAGTTACTAACTTCCAAAATCTCCACTTTTTCACCTATGACAGTAGTGGTGAAAATATCCAGTCTAGTAGCTGTAGATACTGATATAGTAGAACTTTCCTTCCCTCTAAGGCAGGGCAGTTCCTCAAACTGAGTCAGGAAATAAAGGGCTGCTTCTTCCAGGGCTCCAGTCCAATTGGATAGGCAGACCCAGAGGAATGGATTACATGAAGGCACAGTGATACAGGTACCTCAAATTTATAACAGACTTTGGCCCTCATGTAAGTTCCATGGACAGGTACTGGTACTCCTCCAAGAGCTTTCCAGGAGGATGAATGAGGTATCAAAAGCATCCACTTCTATCTTCTACAATAACATTGCTCTAATCCAAGCCCATACTTCTCTTATCTAGAATAGTTTGCATTGAACTCTGTTTTCATTTTTGCCTTTCTAGAATCCGTTTTTTTATGCAACTCAGAATGATCTAAAAGATTAATTGGATCACTAACTCTCCTGCTTACAATCTTCCAATTGTTTCTAAATGCCCACAGGGACAATTCAGTCTCCTTTCCAAAGCCTGCAATGTCCCTCTTGAGCTCCCTTTTACCTCCTTTTCCATCACACTCCTCTTGGCCCACCTGGATGCAGTCCTGTCCCTAGATCCAGCCCACTGGCTTTCCTTATCTTCTCCTAAAGGGCACAGAGCTTGTTTTTACCTCAGGCCTTTGCACTAGTTGTTGTCCGTATCTGGCATACTTTCGTGGGCTCTTCATGAGGTTGAACTTGTCAGGTCTCACTGCCCTCCCCCATTACTCTCTGTCCTCATTCCATCAGGTTCATTCTCAGAACTTAATTACATTCCTTTTCAGAAATTATCTTATTTACTTATTTGATCATACACTATGGCTTCTTTCCCTGAAGCAGGGGCCAGGGCCCTCCTCTGTCTAGTTTATTGCAAAGTAGCCAGGACCTTGGATTGTGCCTAGAAGGTATGCAATAAATACTTGTTGACTCATCACACATACTACTCATTTCAGCTTGATCTCAGCTGACGAAAACCACGTTTATAGAGGATGGTTTGAAGAAGTTGTACTTTGTCTTTACAGTCTAGATATTCTTAACCAAAAAACCTTGAATTATGCCAGATCAGCAGAGTTACCCACTACCTACCTAAGCCACACTGTCCATTGGTTTTATTTCTAGACAGGGTCTAGCTCTGTTGACAGGCTGGAGTGCAGTGGTGTAATCATGGCTCATTACAACCTCAAACTCCTGGGCTCAAGTGATACTCCCTCTTCAGCTTCCTGAGGAGCTGGGGCTACCTACAGGTATGTGCCACTCCACCTGGCTAATAAAAAAGATTTTTTAGTAGAGACGAGTAGCTGAGACTACAGGTGCACACCACCACACACACCTGACTAATTTAAAAAATTTTTTAGTAGAGATGAGCAACATAGTAGCTATGTTGCTTAGGCTGGTCACAAACTCCTGTGCTCAAGTGGTCTTCCAGCCTTAGCCTCCCAAAGTGCTAAGATTGATTACAGGTGTAAGCTACCACGCCCAGCCTCTATTGGCTTTAGAATGTCTTTCTAAATTGTGATTTAGTTTTCTTTTACCTAGCAAGGGATGTGCTACAAAACAGCTCTATGATCTTCAGTGCTGAAAAGAGGTTAAGGATATGACACTGGCTTTCATCATAAGGACCTCAATGATAAACTTTTCCTCTAGTTAAAATCAGAAAAAAAACCCTGCTTTTCCTGGGCATCTAAGGATGATGCCTTCTTTCACGAACACTACATCAGAGTAGAACAGGTCCTGCCTCTTGGCATGAACTACTGCAGAATTAGGTCACTTTCTGGTGAATTAATGTATTAGACTTTATATTCTTGCATTTTGAGGATCACCCCACTTCTGAATTCGCTTTATTTTTCCTAATCTCAATGTTCTTTATTTCTTGTTTACTAATGCGATTAATTTTTACGTTTTCTCATTACGGTGGACTGCCTTAAATGTTTTCTAGCATAAGGCATATAAATAACGTATTGAGGGCAATAGCAGCACTAACTATGCATAAAATAATATGGCTAATAGGCAGAGGGGTCAACTACTTCTAGGAAAGAGGGGATTTTTGAGGAGGGTCTTGAGGAATAAGTGAGCTGTCACCTGAAAAGGCAAGAAAAGGGAACCTGTGCAGATTAAGAGAGAAAGCACAGTTCCACATCAAAGGAAAGTGGAAGACAGATTAGTAACAACTCTGACATTTAATAATATTTACTGAACGTTAATTTTTATGTGTTGGACTCAATGCAAAGCCATTTACAACTTTTGTGTGTTTAATCCTCAAAACAATCCTCTGACCTGGATTTTATTATCTCCATTCAGAGACGGAAACTGAGGCAGTTTGTGAGTGGCAGAATTGAGACTCCTGTGGCCTCTACGGATGTGGGGGTGGGGGGCACTTGGCTGCACTCAGTACTTCAGAACTCATCTTCTATCCCTATCTCCCATGTGACAAAGCCCATCGCTCCTTCGGACATCTCTCTCTCAATAAGTAGAAAAGTAGCACTAACAGGCACACAGTGAAGTCGAAAACCTGGGATCATCCTAAACTCCTCCTCTCTCCCCATCCACTCAATACCTGAAGTCCTGACATTCTACTGCACACGTTTCCTTCCCACCTGTCCACTTCTCAGCATTCCTTCTAGGTCAGTGTCCTTATTGTCACTCACCAGGGCCACTACAGAACTAGCAGACATAGGATGCATAACAGGGAAGGGCAGGAACTATGCAGGTGGACTCCCTGCCTTTGACCCTCTATAACTTACTACCTGTGCAACCTTGGGCAAGCTAACCTATGTCTCAGTTTCAACTGTAAAATGGGGATAACAATTAGAACACTACCTGACAGCACTATGTAAATGTTAGTAAGTGGGGAGGAAACTTAGCTCCTTATTTTTTCTTCCTCTCATCATTCTACACATAGCAGAGACAGGGTGTATGCCTGCTTTTGTTTGTTTTGAGACAGGGTCTTACTTTACCACCCAGACTGGAGTGCATTGGCACGACCTTGGCTCACTGCAGCGTAGACCTCCCAGGCTCAAGTGATCCTCTTTCTTCAGCCTCCCAAGTCCTGGGACTACAGGTGTGTGCCACTGTGCCAGACCAATTTTTTTTGTATTTGTAGACATGGGGTCTCACTATGTTGCCCAAGCTGGTCCTGAACTCCTGAGCTCATGAGATCCGCCTGCCTTGGCCTCCCAAAGTGCTGGGATTACAAACTTGAGCCACTGTGCCTAGCCATGTGTGTGTGTTTTAATGCTAATCTGATTAACACCACCCACACCAATGTTAAAAACTTTTAATGGCTTCCCATTGCCCTTAGAAATCTCTGACTCATAACTTTCTAAATTCTAGCAATACCTGTCAGCTTTGAGTTCTTCCAATATCTTGGGGCCTTTGTTCAAGTGGCTCCCAACCCAGAACACCAGTCCAACATCTACTTATTCTTCAAAAATGAGATTAACTTTTTTTGGGGAGGCTTTCTCATCTCCATTGATTGGATAAACAATCTTTGTTACATGTTCCTACAGTTCCCAACCTTGCACTTCCTTGTGACAATATTTGTCACTCTTAATTAGGCAATGTTTCTTTCCCATCAGACTGAAATGTGAGAGAGGGAAAAGCTCTTGCTCGTTGGTTCTGGGTTGTAATCCCAAAGCCTAGTCCTAGAAGGATAAATATCTACTAAATAAATGAAACTGGAATGAAGCAAAGCTGAAAGTTCACATGAAGTTCCTGGGTCTTTAGTAGCCTCCCACCTCCACCACTCTTTATCAGTCTGCATATTTGGGCCTATCACTGTTCTTCCCAGGGCCAGGCCCTTTAATGTGGACACCCAAGTTGTCTTCAACTTTTCAGAAGTGGACTCTCCACAGGCATTTACAGTTACTCGTTACCTTCTCCTCAAAAACACTCAAGAGCCCTAGATCTTCCCTTTCCAGATATCAAAGGACCTCCCTCCTCCCTAAGCAGATACCTTGCAAGTTCTCCCTCCAGTTGCCAAACATGTCCTTTTCCCCTTCCCCAAAGTGTCACTTTATTTCTGCTTTCAGTCCATAGACCATCTCCCTTAGACTGTCCACAAACCCAGCCTTTGCTCCTCTAAATCCATTCCATCTGACAAATCACCCTCCCCAAAACACACCCACCCACCCACCCTTCTACCGTTTATCGCCTCTCATCCTTATACAGGCTCCTCTTTACTTCCCGTAAATCTCCCTCGCACACTTCCTGATTACCCTTGGATCTATTCTTTTTATAAATAATTCCTAGCTCCTTCTCCTCAACCACAATTCACTCGCAGTTCAAGGCCTCATCGCAATTTCCTCCATTGTCTGTGAGCCCTTCGCAATATGCCCCAGGACCCCTCCAGGTGTCACGCTCTGTATCCTGACAACCCTTGTACTAGACTCCTGAAACTCCCGCCCCATCTTTGGAGCTGCCACTCCCTCCCAGCCCTCCACAAACCTTCCGAGTCCCCAGCCCCAAGCCCGGCACCACCGCCCACCCTTCGCAGCTCCTGGGCCCTCACCGCATCCCTAGACAAACCCGCATTCCCTCCGGTCCCACCCGCCCTTGCATCGCTTCTAGCTATCTCGGCCACCCACGTGTGTTGCCAGCCTTCCGACCACGCTGCCGGCACACCCTACAGCGGGGCGCCGACTCCAGGAGAGCGGACCGGGGATGTCGAGGGGCTCCGAGGGGCGCTCGGGCTCCGACGAGAGGAAGAAGGATTCGGGGGAAGCGGCCGGGGAGGCCCGGGGCTCCGGGGAGAGGTCGGGAAGGCCGAAGCGCTCGGGCGAAGCAGCCTGGGAGACCGAGGGGCTCCCGGAAGCGGCCTGGGAGGCCAGGGGTCTCGGGGGAGGCCGAGCGGGCCGTGCAGCGGACGCGGGTGGCGGCAAGCGGGGCCTCACCGTCAGTCACGGCTCCCATGGCGTGCACGACGGCGGCGGCGGCGGCGCAAGCTGAGGCGGCGGTTGGCGGCGGCGGAGGTCAAACTCCCACAATGCAGCCGGGTAAACAGCCATGGAGGAGGAGGCGGCGGCGCCCGCGGCCGCCAGCTCCGACGCCTGAGCCGCGCCGCGCCGCCGCCGCCGCCGCCGCCGCCGCCGCGGGACCCGCGCTCCCCGCGCTCCCGGTACTCCCCGGGGGCGGCCGCGGCCAGCGCGAGTCGGGGCGAAGCTAGGCGGCCGGCGGCGGCCCCGGCTGCAGTCCGGGCCCCCGCCGCCCCCCTTGCCGCCCACGCCCGGCCCACGCCCAGAGGCCGCCCCACAGGCCGCCGCCAGCCGCCAGGTGAGCTCGCCTAGACGCCGCCAGGGCTGCAGGGGCTGCGGGCCGCCCGGATTCGGGGCCCCAGCTCCTTCCTCGGGAAGGTGACTGCGGCCCCGCCGTCCCATCCAGGCTGACGCCGCTAGGGGTGGGCTCGCTCCACTGGGGGGTGGGGAGGGTGACGGGGACGCCCGAATCCGGCTGAGCCCGGGAGACACGGGACTAGGGGGCCCGCGGGGGCGCGTCGCTGGGGGTCCCCGCGAAGTTGGCGCCCACGCGCGCCGGGGCGGGTCTCGAACGCCGGCACTTGCCCTGGGCGCGGCCGGCAATCAAAAAAGGCCCCGGGTTCCAGGTCGCGCGGTTCCGGCCCCTGCGGCCGACCTCTTCCTTCCTGGGCACGGCGGGTGCGGGAAAAAGGGTGAAAGAGAAACTTGGCGACCTCCGGGAGGAGTTCGCGGAGCGACCGGGAGCGTGTGCCCATCGTCCTCACCCGGCACCCAATTTCCCCACAGAGTCGGGATCTCGTCGATGATCATGATGGGGTGCTTTTATTTATTTTTATTTTTGATTTTCAAAAAATGTCTATGCAACTGTCCCTATCTTAAGGGGAAGTTGAAAGTGGGGGCGGGGGTACTCAATGAGAAACGTTGCCGTGTGTGTAGTTGTCTGGACCACACTGCAAATTATATTGGCATCTCTTTCCAAAAGTCACTTTAACTTCGATAGCTCTCTTGTAAATGGCAACGTTTAGGTAGTGAGAGGTGGATGAGGAAACAGGCACCAATACAGCTGATTTGACCTCCAATGGGATAGATATGGTGAGCACCAGGATCAAGTCTTGAACCCAGGTTTGTTATTTAATTAAGCCATATCATCGTTTTCCAATTTTCCTGTCCCCCAAGTAGATCTTGGATCTTCATATCCGGGTTGAAGAAGTTGTGTAGGATAAAATTGGTTGTTTCACTTTCCTTACTAAATTTAGGTACATTCTCTCTGTTT